GCTATATCCAAATCGGAACCGATCTCGATAAAATTTGGCAAAGATATTTCTGAGCTGTATTTGATATATTTCCCTGAATATCGTTGTTACGGAGTGCATATTACGGCTGTGGGTAACAAATATAACAAATCGGATGAACAGTATATATGGGAGCTATAGCTATATCTGAACCGATTTCGATCAAATTTGGCATACTTATTTTCAGGCCTAAGTTGGTTGTATGTGCAAAATTCCATACTATTCGGGCTGATATTACACGTTTGGTGCACAATAAAAGGCAAATCGGACGAAGATATATATAGGAGCTATCTCTCATTTTTGACCGATTATCTCCAATTTTTTCCAATAGGGTTCGTCTTTGGGCCAAACAAATGTTGTTTGGAGAATTTCATCTCAATCGGATAATAAATGCGACCTGCATTTTGTTCACAAGAATACATGGACCGACGGACGGACTGACATGCATAAATCAACTCAGAAAGTGATTCTATGGAGATCCTCAAAAGTAACTATTGGTCTATCTCGCTTCCTTCTCCATGTTACAAACAAATGCACAAAGACATAATACCCTTACCACTATGTGGTGTAGGGTATAAAAAAATTACACCTCATGCGTAAAGTATTCGAAATTTGGCACATGGTCACTTTCTTTATACCCTCAGTCATATGGCTAGAGAGGGTCTACATCATTTGATGCGGCCAAAATATGTCTCGACGAAATAACGATTCCAGACACTAGGTCTCTTTGGACAAAATCCGTTTCAGGACATTTGGAGTTGATCTAGCAATCTCCGTCCGTACGTTTCTCCGCCTGTCTGGATGGCTAAGGTGCACGATAACTCTCAAAGGGAGTATCCAAATTGGTCCAAACTTGGTATATCCTAATATTATTATCAAACTTAGATCGAGTTTGGAGATGGGCAATATTGGTCCACTCCTTCTGGTACCTCCCCCAAAAAATGTCGAAATTTTCAAAAAAAAAAAAAAAAAAAACAAGTAAAAAGCTGTAAGTTCGGCCGGGCCGAACTTTTAATACCCTCCACCATTTGGTAAAAATTTGGCAAATTTTCAAAAAAATAAAATCCGTTAAAAATTCTGCTAAAATCTTAAAAATACCGAATGTAGCCGTTATATTAGGGTCTATACGACGACATGGACCCGCATAGGCAACCTTTGTCACAAGCTATTACAATATTCAAATGCGAAACTTGAAAAAAAAATCTGTTTATAATTTGAAGTTCGCAATGGATACTACAGCCTAAGACAGAAAATTGTCTGTGCAGGTCCACGCCTTCGTATAGCCCGCATATAACGGTACCTCCCAATATTCGGGATTTTAGCGACATTAATCACCGGAATTGTTTGAAATTTGGTATTTGAAGTTCGCAATGGATACTACAGCCTATGACAGAAAATTGTCTGTGCAGGTCTACGTCTTCGTATAGCCCCCATTTAACCGTACCTCCCGATATTCGGGATTTTGATGATTTTAGCGACATTAATCACCGGAATTGTTTCAAATTTGGTACTTGAAGTTCGTAATGGAAACTACAGCCTAAGACAGAAAATTGTCTATGCAGGTCCACGCCTTCGTATAGCCCCCATACAACGGTACCTCCCGATATTCGGGATTTTGATGATTTTGGCGACATTATTCACCGGCATTTTTTAAAATTTGGTATTTGAAGTTCGCAATGGAAACTACAACCTAAGATAGAAAATTGTCTGTTCAGGTTCACGCCTTCGTATAGCCCCCATATAACGGTACCTCCCGATATTCGGTATTTTGATGATTTTAGCGTCATTATTCACCGGAATTGTTTAAAATTTGGTATTTGAAGTTCGCAATGAATACTACAGCCTATGACAGAAAATTGTCTGTGCAGGTTCACGCCTTCGTATAGCCCCCATTTAACGGTACCTGCCGATATTCGGTATTTTGATGATTTTAGCGACATTATTCACCGGAATTGTTTAAAATTTGCTATTTGAAGTTCGCAATGGAAATTACAGCCTAAAACAGAAAATTGTCTGTGCAGGTCCACGCCTTCGTATAGCCCCCATATAACGGTACCTCCCGATATTCGGTATTTTGTTGATTTTAGCAACATTAATCACCGGAATTGTTTAAAATTTGCTATTTGAAGTTCGCAATGGAAATTACAGCCTAAAACAGAAAATTGTCTGTGCAGGTCCACGCCTTCGTATAGCCCCCATATAACGGTACCTCCCGATGTTCGGGATTTTGATGATTTTAGCGTCATTATTCACCGGAATTGTTTAAAATTTGGTATTTGAAGTTCGCAATGGAAACTACAGCGTATAACAGAAAATTTTCTGTGCCGGTCCACGTTTTATAACCCCCATGGTACCTCCCTATATTGGGTATTTTGATGATATTACCTACATTATAAATAGATTTTTTTCAAGTTTCGCATTTGAATGTTGTAATAGTTTGTGACAAAAGTTGAGTATGCGGGTCCATGTCGTCGTATAGACCCTAATATAACGGCTACATTCGGTATTTTTAAGATTTTAGCAGAATTTTAAACGGATTTTATTTTTTTTTTTTGAAAATTTGCCAAATTTTTACCAAATGGTGGAGGGTATTAAAAGTTCGGCCCGGCCGAATGTACAGCTATTTATTTATTTATTTTTTTTTTTTTTTTGAAAATTTCGACATTTTTTGAGGGAGGTACCAGAAGAAGTGGGCCAATATTGCCCTTCTCCGAACTCGGAGGTGTATTTTTATACCCTACACCACATAGTGGTAAGGGTATTATGTCTTTGCGCATTTGTTTGTAACATGGAGAAGGAAGCGAGATAGACCAATAGTTACTTTTGAGGATCTGCATAGAATCACTTTCTGAGTTGATTTATGCATGTCAGTCCGTCTGCCCGTCCGTCCGTCCGTCCGTCTGTCCATGTATTCTTGTGAACAAAATGCAGGTCGCATTTATTATCCGATTGAGATGAAACCTTGCAAACAACATTTGTTTGGCCCAAGGACGAACCCTATTGAAATTGGAGATAATCGGTAAAAATTTAGATATAGCTCCCATATATATCTTCGTCCGATTTGCCTTTTATTGTGCACCAAACGTGTAATATCAGCCCGAATAGTATGAAATTTTGCACATACAACCAAATTAGCCCTGAAAATAAGTATGCCAAATTTGATCGAAATCGGTTCAGATATAGCTATAGCTCCCATGTATACACGGTTCATCCGATTTGTTATTTGTGTCCTCCGCAGCCGTAATATGCACTCTGTAACAACAATATTTGGGGAAATATATCAAATGCAGCTCAGAAATACCTTTGCTAAATTTTATCGAGATCGGTTCAGATTTGGATATAGCTCCCATATATAACTTCGTCCGATTTACCTTTTATTGTGCACCAAACGTCTAATATTTGCCCAAATTGGATGGAATTTGGCACATACGACCGAATTTAGTCTAGAAGGTAGTATGCCAAAGTTGGTGAAGATCGGTTCAGATATAGCTATAACTCCCACATATACTCTTCTTCCGATTTGTTATATTTGTTACCCACAGCTGTAATATGCACTCCGTAACAACGATATTCAGGGAAATATATCAAATACAGCTCAAAAATATCTTTGCCAAATTTTATCGAGATCGGTTCAGATTTGGATATAGCTGCCATATATAACTTCGTCCGATTTACCTTTTATTGTGCACCAAACGTCTAATATTTGCCCAAATGGAATGGAATTTGGCACATACGACTGAATTTAGTCTAGAAGGTAGTATGCCAAATTTGGTGAAGATCGGTTCAGATATAGCTATAGCTCCCATATATATTGTTCATCCGATTTGTTATTTTTGTCCTCCGCAGCCGTAATATGCACTCTGTAACAACAATATTTGGGGAAATATATCAAATACAGCTCAGAAATATCTGTGCCAAATTTTATGGAGATCGGTTCAGATTTGGATATAGCTCCCCTATATATAACTTCGTCCGATTTACCTTTTATTGTGCACCAAACATCTAATATTTGCCTAAATGGCATGAAATTTGGCACTTACGACCGAATTGAGTGTAGAAGCTAGTATGTCAAATTTGGTGAAGATCGGTTTAGATTTGGATATAGCTCCCACATATAACTTCGTCCGATTTACCTTTGATTGTGCACCAAACGTCTAATATTTGTCCAAATTGGATGAAATTTGGCACTTACGACCGAATTGAGTGTAGAAGCTAGTATGTCAAATTTGGTGAAGATCGGTTCAGACTTGGATATAGGTCCCACATATAACTTCGTCCGATTTACCTTTGATTGTGCACCAAACGTGTAATATCAGCCCAAATGGGATGAAATTTTGCACATACGACCGAATTGAGTCTAGAAGCTAGTATGTCAAATTTGATGGAAATCAAATGAACAAATGAACAAATCCCATATATATTGTTCATCCGATTTGTTGTATTTGTTACCTACAGCCGTAATATGCACTCCGTAACAACGATATTCAGGGAAATATATCAAATACAGCTCAAAAATATCTTTGCCAAATTTTATCGAGATCGGTTCCGATTTGGATATAGTTCCCCCATATATATCTTTATCTGATTTCAAATTAATTTTGCACCAAATGGCCAATACAAGTCCGAATTTAAAAGATACAAATGCTTTGGCATATTTAGTCCTTCGGAACTTTAAATCATAATTATAATCATAGCGTTTATGATTGAATTCTCCCATAAAAACTTTTAATTGTTATGCGGAGCTCTACTAAATTAGCAAAGTGGTGTAGGGTATCATAAAATCGGCCCCGCCCGACTTTAGGACTTTCTTTACTGGTTTTTGGTTTTTTTTTTTTGCTTTTCAAATTGTTATTTCGAATTTTCATTGAACAATAATTGATAGACAGAGTTCCAACTATTCGTTCCTTTCGGTGAATATTTACATTGATCAAAATCTCAGTCCAAACGCAAGCTAGGGTCTTATTTCTACAATGAAAACTTACCTTTTGTTTGAAGTTGTCCTTGGCTTTGTTGAAAATTTGTTTTTGGAGCCAAAAGTTGCAGTGTTGTATTTTTTTTCCGAATTTTCAGAGTTGATACTGCGTGTGCCCACGGAAGTAGTTAACAGCAATGGACGATTGTTTGTTGGTTTTTTTGGGGGTTTAGATAATGGGCCAAAAAAGAAAATTTTGAATATCTTTTTTTTTTTCGAAGTGTTGAGTTCTCCTTTTTTTGTTTTAAATGGGGATTGTTTTTTTATTTAATTTTTATTTTTTGTTTTTGTTAATTTTAATGCAGTAAAATGTTTTGTTTTGGTTTTGTTTTTTTAATTTATGAGACATTCATTTATATCATAATTTGTGTGTGTGTGTTTTTTTTAATAATTAATATCTTAGAATATATTTTGGTTTTTTCTGATGATAATTATAATAATTTTATGAATTTGTTTTTGTTTTTTTTTTTTTTGCTTTGCACACAAAATGTTCAGAGGGTGATTTTTTTTTTCAAAACTTTTTCCTTTCGCGGAAGATTTTGGTTTTTTTTTTTTTGACAAAAATTTGTTGTTTTTTTTTTAATTTCTTGCCTTGGCCAAAATTGTAATTTTGGAGTTGATTTTTTTTATTATTTTGAATGAATTTTGGGGTTTTTCCTTCTATTTTCTCTGAAGAAATTTCCGGTTAATGCCCTTGAAAGGAGTATTGGAATTTTTTTCCTTGTTTTCAAATTGTTTTTTCTGATCCTTGATTCTATTTCTCCGGCTTCGATTATTCAACGCTGGCGTTATTCATAATTTTTTTTTTTTTGGTTTGCTTGCAAATTATTATCGCTTTCGAGTGTTTTTTTTTGTTTGGTTTCAAGTTCAGAACACTGTGCTGCTGTGCTGATTTTGACGTGTTTTTAAAGAAACATTTTTTTTTGTTTTTGTTGTTTGGTTGGTTTTGTGTTGAAACGAAATCACAAACTTAGAATTTGACAAATCATATTTAGTTCTGAGTTAGTTAGTCAGTTTCACCGAATATTTCACCATGACCATGAATCGGAATTCTGGACTTTTGAATTTGAAATTCGTTGTGAGTTCCGGGGTGGGGGAGGTTGAGGGCTGCTAGTCTTACAAAAATTCAAAAATTTCGACTATGGCTTTCTCTCGTAACATTTAACAAATTTTGGCTATTTTTTGAATTTTGACGGTTTATTTCTTTGGATTTGGATTTTGACAGAGAGGGAGTTGTTGTTTATTTTTTGGTGGTGAGTTTTCCTTTTTGTTGTTGTTTGGCTATTAGTTTTTTTTTATTATTATTGTTGTTGTTGTTAACTATTTTACTGCATAAAATTTTGAATTTGTGTTTGAAGTTCCGAAATTTTTTTTAAGATTCGTTACTATTTTTTGTTGTTGTTGTTGTAGTGAATATTATTTTTATTATTATTTTGTTGTTGCTGCTTCAGTTGGAGTTGTGGAGGGGGGGATTTGATTGATCGGTTGTTGTTGTTGCTTTATTATTTATTTAATTAGTTTTTGTTGTTGCTTTGTTATTGAGGAGAAGTAGAGGGATTTGGATTGGTTTTTCTTGTTGTTGTTGTTGCTTGGTTTTGGTTTTTGTTTTATTTCGTTACTTTTTTGTGTTACTTGTTTTGTTGTTTGTTTTTTTTAGCTTATTTTATTGTTACGGTTTATTGTTGTGTTATTGTTGTTGTTTTGGTTTTTTCTGTTTATTGCTGCTGGGGGTTCCTTATTTCCTTTTGTTTGTTGTAGTTTGTTGCTGTAGTTGATTTGAGTTTTGTTGTTGTTGGTTTCCAAATTTTTTGTTGTTGTTTTGAATTTTGTTTGTTAAATTTTGAGAAATAAAACTAAAAATATTCTTTTTGTGGTATTTTTTTTTTGCTTTTGTTTTTGAACTGAAAATGAAAAGTTACTATTTTTGTTGTTGCTATTTTTCGTTTTTTTCGGAACTGAAAGTTGTTGGTTTTTTCTTTTTAAAAAAATCATATGTATTTGAAAATTAAAAACAAAATTGCACTTTGTTCCTAAAAAGTTCTTGATTTTGAATTTTTTGTTTTTGTAATTACGGGGAGAGTTCTTCCTGTTTTTGGTTCGACTGGGAATTTCGGTTAGGTGTTGGTTTGGTTGTGACAATTTTACGTTTTTGTTTTGTTTTTGGTTTTTTATTTTGTTATTATTATTATTATCAATAAAATAAAACAAATATTAATAAGTATCAACAACGTTTTAACGTAAGTTTTTAAAAAATGTTCCAAACAGTCAAAAAGCACCTGGAAGATAGTAAAAAAAAGCAATGGGAAAATGTTATTAACAAAGATATTTCAAGATATGGTATTTTTAATTTAAATTAAAAAAAAAAAATAAACAAAAAAAAAAACTCAAAGGAACCAATTCTCCAGAGCAGCCAACGAACGAACAAGAGGGTCCTAATAACAAAAACACAAACAAATATAAAGTCGAAAAAAAAAATTTCAACAAGTCGGAAAAATTTTCTATGGAATTTATTTCGACAAGTCGGAAAAAAATTTCTATGGAAATTAAAAATTTGCTAACAAATAATATCCATAAGAAAATTTTGCGTCTAGTCGAAAATAATTTCCATAGGAAATTTTTGCGACTAGTCGAAAATAATATCGTTAGAAATTTTTGCGACTAGTCGAAAATAATTCCGTTAGAAAATTTTTGCGACTAGTCGAAAATAATTTCGTTAGAAAATTTTTGCCATTAGTCGCAAATAATTTCGTTAGAAAATTTTTGCGATTAGTCGCAAATAATTTCGTTAGAAAATTTTTGCGACTAGTCGAAAATAATTTCTATAGGAAATTTTTGCGATTAGTCGCAAATAATTTCGTTAGAAAATTTTTGCGACTAGTCGAAAATAATTTCTATAGGAAATTTTTGCTACTAGTCGAAAATAATTTCTATAGGAAATTTTTGCGACTAGTCGAAATAATTTCTATAGGAAATTTTTGCGACTAGTCGAAAATAATTTCTATAGGAAATTTTTGCGACTAGTCGAAAATAATTTCTATAGGAAATTTTTGCGACTAGTCGAAAATAATTTCTATAGGAAATTTTTGCGACTAGTCGAAAATAATTTCTATAGGAAATTTTTGCGACTAGTCGAAAATAATTTCTATAGGAAATTTTTGCGACTAGTCGAAAATAATTTCTATAGGAAATTTTTGCGACTAGTCGAAAATAATTTCTATAGGAAATTTTTGCGACTAGTCGAAAATAATTTCTATAGGAAATTTTTGCGACTAGTCGAAAATAATTTCTATAGGAAATTTTTGCGACTAGTCGAAAATAATTTCTATAGGAAATTTTTGCGACTAGTCGAAAATAATTTCTATAGGAAATTTTTGCGACTAGTCGAAAATAATTTCTATAGGAAATTTTTGCGACTAGTCGAAAATAATTTCTATAGGAAATTTTGCGACTAGTCGAAAATAATTTCTATAGGAAATTTTTGCGACTAGTCGAAAATAATTTCTATAGGAAATTTTGCGACTAGTCGAAAATAATTTCTATAGGAAATTTTTGCGACTAGTCGAAAATAATTTCTATAGGAAATTTTTGCGACTAGTCGAAAATAATTTCTAACGAAATTATTTTCGACTAGTCGCAAACAATTTCTAACGAAATTATTTTCGACTAGTCGCAAACAATTTCTAACGAAATTATTTTCGACTAGTCGCAAACAATTTCTAACGAAATTATTTTCGACTAGTCGCGAAAAATTTTCTAACGAAATTATTTTCGACTAGTCGCGAAAATTTTTCTAACAAAAATATTTTCGACTAGTCGCGAAAAATTTTCTAACAAAAATATTTTCGACTAGTCGCCAAAAAATTTCCTATAGAAATTATTTTCGACTAGTCGCGAAAAATTTTCTAACGAAATTATTTTCGACTAGTCGCCGAAAATTTTTCTAACGAAATTATTTTCGACTAGTCGCGAAAATTTTTCTAACGAAATTATTTTCGACTAGTCGCGAAAATTTTTCTAACGAATTTATTTTCGACTAGTCGCGAAAAATTTTCTAACGAAATTATTTGCGACCATTCGCAAAAATTTTCTAACGAAATTATTTGCGACCAGTCGCGAAAATTTTCTATGGAAATTATTTTCGTTCGGATCGCGAAAATTTTCTATGGAAATTATTTTCGTTCGGATCGCGAAAATTTTCTATGGAAATTATTTTCGTTCGGATCGCGAAAATTTTCTATAGAAATTATTTTCGACTAGTCGCAAAAATTTCCTATAGAAATTATTTTCGACTAGTCGCAAAAATTTCCTATAGAAATTATTTTCGACTAGTCGCAAAAATTTCCTATAGAAATTATTTTCGACTAGTCGCAAAAATTTCCTATAGAAATTATTTTCGACTAGTCGCAAAAATTTCCTATAGAAATTATTTCGACTAGTCGCAAAATTTCCTATAGAAATTATTTTCGACTAGTCGCAAAAATTTCCTATAGAAATTATTTTCGACTAGTCGCAAAAATTTCCTATAGAAATTATTTTCGACTAGTCGCAAAAATTTCCTATAGAAATTATTTTCGACTAGTCGCGAAAATTTCCTATAGAATTATTTTCGACTAGTCGCGAAAAATTTCCTATAGAAATTATTTTCGACTAGTCGCGAAAAATTTCCTATAGAAATTATTTTCGACTAGTCGCGAAAAATTTTCTATAGAAATTATTTTCGATGGGATCGCAAAAATTTTCTATGGAAATTATTTGCGATCGGATCGCAAAAATTTTCTATGGAAATTATTTTCGACTAGTCGCGAAAAATTTCCTATAGAAATTATTTTCGACTAGTGGCGAAAATTTCCTATAGAAATTATTTTCGACTAGTGGCGAAAAATTTCCTATAGAAATTATTTTCGACTAGTCGCGAAAAATTTCTATGGAAATTATTTTCGAATAGTCGCGAAAAATTTCCTATAGAAATTATTTTCGACTAGTCGCGAAAAATTTCCTATAGAAATTATTTTCGACTAGTCGCCAAAAAATTTCTATGGAAATTATTTTCGATGGGATCGCAAAAATTTTCTATGGAAATTATTTCGATGGGATCGCAAAAATTTTCTATGGAAATTATTTGCGATCGGATCGCAAAAATTTTCTATGGAAATTATTTTCGATTGGATTGTGAAAATTTTCTATGGAAATTATTTTCGACTAGTCGCGAAAAATTTCCTATAGAAATTATTTTCGATGGGATCGCAAAAATTTTCTATGGAAATTATTTTCGACTAGTCGCGAAAAATTTCCTATAGAAATTATTTTCGACTAGTCGCGAAAAATTTCCTATATAAATTATTTTCGACTAGTCGCGAAAAATTTCCTATAGAAATTATTTTCGACTAGTCGCGAAAAATTTCCTATAGAAATTATTTTCGACTAGTCGCGAAAAATTTCCTATAGAAATTATTTTCGACTAGTCGCGAAAAATTTCCTATAGAAATTATTTTCGACTAGTCGCGAAAAATTTCCTATAGAAATTATTTCGACTAGTCGCGAAAAATTTCCTATAGAAATTATTTTCGACTAGTCGCGAAAAATTTCCTATAGAAATTATTTTCGACTAGTCGCCAAAAAAATTTCTATGGAAATTATTTTCGATGGGATCGCAAAAATTTTCAATGGAAATTATTTGCGATCAGATCGCAAAAATTTTCTATGGAAATTATTTTCGATTGGATT